TAGCAGAGTGATCCTTCAAAAAGCTGAGCCTCTGGCCCATTGGCCCCCAGAACATTCACTTGCTTCCCTTGTTTTCCTCTCTAACCACCCTCAGAGCCATGCATCCCTGTGCATCCTAATGAATGGTGTCTCACCCAGCAACTCCAGGACAACATGTCTCATTCATTTTGTACCACCAGAACTCAGCATAATGTGTTTCATCTTAGGAAGACTTAAAACTATTAACAAATAAATTAACAAATGAATTAATAAGTGGCCTTTACTCTGCCTTAACCTGAATACTTTTTATCCTTGCAGGCTAAATATCAGGGGATTCTGAATTTAAATGGGTGAAGGCCAAGGAGAAAAATCTTTCCTGTACATTTTACTGTTTATATCCATATTTGTGTATACATAGCCTTATAATTAATTTGTTGATGAGCAATAGACGAAGTCCCCAATATCAAACTTTAAGAAATTATCCAAATGAGGAGCTGGAAATAAAATTATATTGTGTTCACTATTGCTTAGAGAAAAGACAGCTCAATTGGACAACTGAGAATCTTTTTTTTATACAAGATATTTTGTTATACTTGGATTTGCCTTGTGGATTTATTAATAACTTCCATTTCCAGAAGGATTTAGGAACAATGTCCCCTGTATATGTACTAAAGACTGTACATACCTACTCTTGCTGTTGTCAACATCTATAAATGTTGACTTGTGTACTGAAGCCTCCCAAGAACAGAGCTTAAACATACTGCCTTTCCAGAACATGCCAAGACTAGATCTGCTTCAAACTTATAAATTCAAATTCCTGCTCTATACTTAATATGTTGGACATCCCACATATTCAAAACTGAATGGATAGCCATGCCCCAGACTCATTCTTCCTCCTGAGGTCTCATTGAGGTGTACTGGCCTTCATTTCCTTATTTCTCCTCCTGCCCTCTTTCAAAAAAATTCATAAAGAATAGACACAAAGAACCAAAGAGAGATGAAATACCAGCTCTATTAGTAGTGACACAGTAACTCCCAAAGGATGAAGGTTGGTGTTTAGGCTTAAAGCCCAAAATATAGCACTGTATTCCTTCCCCCATGCACTGAAGACAACTTGGCAGGAAGGGCCCTAACTAATCCACTTAGTTTCAGGTGGTAGACATTCCCTTCCCCAACTGGGGCTTACTCTCCAGAGACAGGAAAGCCAAGGCACACGAGGCCTGAACAAAAGCAAGTCCGAAAGGATGAAAAAGAAAATTGTGCCAGATATGAGCAGGGACTTTCACACTCACCCAAAGATAGATGTGGCCCCTAACTGTCAGACTTGGTCCCTCTAACCTGGAGATTAGTCACTCCTCCATCAGGACGCTGTGTTTGGAGAAAACAGTCTATAAATGTATCAGCGTCTGTCTTCTCAGTCAGGGCAGCAAAAGTCCTGTCTAGAACCCTGAAGAGAAGGGGAATAAGGAATTCCTCCACTCCATCATTTCCCCAGTCATCCAGGCCACATACGTGGGCATAAATATAAACTGTATCATTTTTCTTACTTCTCATCATCCCCTATGTCCTATCAATCACCAGATCCTTAAGTGTTATATCCCAGATATTTCCCCATACATCCTTCCCTCTCCATCTGTCCTACCATAATCCTAAATCTAGCCCTCATCATCCTTCCAAAACCACAGTAACAATCTCTTAATTCTACTCTGTAACCTGTTTCAGTCCATTCCTAATCTAATCTCCACACTGCAGCCAGAGTGACCATTCTGAAGCTCAGTTCTGAAGAGTCACCTTCCTACAGCTTCCCACTAACTACAGGATAAAGACCAAGCTCTTTTAATGACATACGACCTTTTCATACTCATCTGGCCCATTTCCCAGTCCACATTCATCTCAGTAATATTAAAATGCTTGTAGTTTCTGAAAGTGACCAGGCAGTTGCAAATCTCCATCCCTTTGTGCATGTGATTTCTTCTGTCTGTAATACTCTTGACTCCCTGTCTCATTTGGTGAACTCTGATTCAACCTTGTTTGAAGGTCTACTTTGCTTAAGGCATTATTACTCTTCGAGGAAGTCTTCCCTAACCTCAGTCCTGCTCCCTGTCCTGCACCCTCATGCTGGAGAAATTTTCCCTTTTCTCTACTTACGCTGAATAGCTCCATCATTGAACCTACTACCCTATGTTGATACTTACTTTTGTTTCTGTCTTGGGCAGGGGTCATATCCCCAGTAACAAGAGGTTAGCGCTCAAGATAAGTGTGTGGACTTAAGTTAATCTTTCTGTTCTTTCAGATCATTCATTCATTCATTCTTTAATTTATCCATTAATTCAATAATAATTCATTGACAAATTTCATGGGTATTTCCCACTCCACTCACTCACTTCTGTTTTGCTGAGTAATATCCTGATTTCCCAGATAACTTTGCCTAATGTGGAAACCAATCAAATTCTCTCTTCTCTGCAAACTCCAGAGCTTATGAAGAACATTTATTAACCATTTCCAAATTGTAATTTGTTTTTAAATTATCCATTTGAATCATTTTTATATGTTCCTTATTCTGGCAACATAACTGACTGATGACACTGAGTCTTTTATGGGTATAGACTGACATGAATGATGTGGTATGACAGCCTAATACTCTGGAACTGAAAGACTACTGCTCCTTCTTTGCTGGCTTCCATCTGCAGAAAATCAAAATCTCAATGGCAGCCATCAGAATTAAATACATTTTGATAAGTAGTAATAGCAAAATAATATCACATTATTATTTTATAGCAGGTCTTTGAAGCCATTCAGACTCAGCCTGTCTCTTCCTATTTAGAAGGCTTCCTGACCACTGACTTTAGCTGCTAATAGGCACTGATTTTTTTTTTAATTTATTCAAGTTCATGAAGGGTCAAGTTTAAACAACTTTGATATAAATCCTACATTTTCCAAAGAAAATCTCAGGGAAAAGTGGGGGAACTTACAATGTGGGTGGTGCCCTGTGTTTGGAAGTAGAAAGCAGGGTGGGCCAACCAGTCCAGGGGCCTTAGGCTGGGGAACTGAGGGCTGATGAGAGATTGGGGCTCTGAGGGGCTCTGGCGATGAGGGTGATGAGCAGCCAAGAATAAGGGAGGCGAGAGGCAGACAGGAAGTGCATGACCATGAAAAGATGAGGAACAAAGGCCTCTATTAGTAATGTTCCTACTACAGTGGGTTCAGGCCTCAAGAAAGTACTCTGTACTTGTACAAACTACCACAGGAGGAGAACTTTAAAATAATATTAACACACCAACTGGTTAATTTTATACTTCAATAACTAGATTCATAAATACTCTGCCCTAAAACCTTTTGGAAATATATTAATTGCACACATGCTCTTGCCCCTCTACAAGGAAGCAAAATATTGAACAGCCAGCCCAGCACGAACCAGCTGACCAGAACGGATGCTGGCCACCAGACCCAGTGAGGCCATGCTGGAGCACAGCACTAACCGGAAGCCCTGAATATACACACACTTGCCCAAATAACAGAGAGCTCATCCCTCCCCTGCCAAGTTCCATTGTGTGATCAATGCATACTGGATCAAGTTCTATACTGGATTCTGCTTGGGTGTCTTTTCTAAGCAACAAAAATAACTAGTGATAAAAATTTTAAAGGAAAATCTGAGGTTATTCTCATGCATATTGCCTGAAGATAAAAAAAAAGTGGCCAGAGATTTTCTCCATTTTCAGCCTTCTATTTGTCCTCCTCCGTCTTCCCAGGCCCTAAAGGCCAGCGAGTCCCCCGCACCCCTGCAGCCCTGGCATCTGCAGCTCCCTGCTCAGAACAGAAATGAAAGGAGACCCTGAGCTGCTCCCTGGCTGCCTGCCTTGCCAGCATCCCAAAGCATTTCCTTCCTTCCCATTCTTCTCCCGCACCTCTCCAAGTGCCCAGCAATTCCTCCCTTCTGCCTTTTCCTCCAGATCTACTTTCAAATCCAATTCTCCACTCACAAGATTTCTACATTAATGGTTTACTTGGCCATACTGTCCATGAGAAATTCTTTGGAAGATAGTAGCAATTTTAGGATGTTTTGACACTCATGTCACGGAGCTGTAGCGCCACGCCCCATATTTTAATGGAGGCATTTATTAAGCAGTTCATGTCTGTCATTCTCCTGGATAACTTAATTTATGTCATCTCATTTAAGCTTTTCAATGCAGTTAAATTACTTCCACTTTGCAGGAAACTGGGACTCAGAAAGGTTGAAGAACTTTGCATTGACCACACAGGGTGTACTGATCATGCAGGTAGTGAGCAGTGAACTCAGGGTTTGAACTCAGGAGACTGTTTTACTCCAATCACTTGTTCTTTCTTACTCTATGTTGCTCTAAAATAAAATAACAAAAATACCAATAAAACAGTCCGAAGTTAGGGAATCTGGCCTTGATTCAACTGATATCATTCTAAGCTTACTCAGGTGTTTACACATATGTGAAGGGAGGGTGGGTGACTCCTCCACATCTTCACATTGCTTCTGAATCTCTACAGAGCCCAAAGCAACCCTGAGCTTGAAAAAAATGTTAACCAAAATAATTTCTGTCTATTACTACTGAGGGGAAAGAAGGCAATAAGTTGATAGATTGCTGAGGTCTATTGCCGTTTATTTGAATTAATACTCCCTTAGATATTGAGAGAGTATAAAAAGGCCAGTGATGGTCAGCTGGGGGTTGAATGGCAAAGGCAACAAGCCCAAAGCATTATTTAGGGGGTGAGGGGGTTGCTTGTTTTCTCTCTTTAGATTTAGAAAGAAGGAAAAAGTATTTACAGTTAAACACAGGCCCCAAGTAAAGGGGGACTTTTTCTGCTCAGGGCTGGGTGTGTGTGTGTTTGAAGGCAATGTCTGCATGCTGGGACCCTTTGTCTTCAGTTAGGTAGGGGGGCTCGTCCAGGCCTTTCTGCCTTAGGAAGGGGTGGGCAGGGACTTGCCCTCCCTCTAGGGCATGCCAACCAAGTGTGAACCTCATGTAAGATGGCATTATTTTCAACCACAGAAATATTTACCAGAAAATCAGGGACCATGACCTCCTGGACAAAAGGAAAACCGTCACAGCTCTGAAAGCAGGAGAAGACCGGGCCATTCTGCTGGGACTGGCCATGGTGGTGTGTTCCATCACCATGTACTTCCTGCTGGGAATCACGCTCCTGCGCTCGTATATGCAGAGGTAATGCCCCCGGGGCCGGCATGGCCTTCTGTCCCCGCCTTCTCCCCGCTCCCCCAGAGGTCCCTAGAAGGTTCTCTTCTTCACCTTCTTTCACAATAAGAAATTTGAGCAGTGCCTGGCACACAATATTTTTCAATAATGTGATCTAATAATGATAAAAAACAGCTCTGTGTCTTAACTGCCTGCTATGTACCAAGGACTTCCCATCCATTACTTGTTTAATTCTTGCAACTACACCATGAGGGATGTATGAACATACTCATTATAAAAATGGCACACCTGAAGCTTAAGATAGATATAATCTACCCAGTGTCACACAGCTCTAACATATGGCAGAGGTAAGATTTGAACTCACATTCTCCTGATTCCAGAGCCCTATTCTTGCCTCTACACACCTCTGTCTTGTTCTCCACAATCATTTCCTTTCCATTCCACCTCTCCCTTCCATCACACCACACATCACTGTTCCTCAACTGCACATTTTCAACTTCTAAAAAATTAGTTCCAAGAAGCTAAAAATTACTGGTGGCCAGGTCCCACCACCATCATCTCAGCATGTCAGATTTAATTTGTCTGTAGTGGGACCCAGCCACCAGTATTTTTTAAAGTTCCCCCAGTGACTCTAATATGCTGTCAAGGGTGAGAAATGCTGCTATGCATCAACTTTTAAAAATAACGGATTTTGAATGCTCTCCTTTTTAACATCTGCCGTACTGAATATATTGGGGAGGCAATTAAATACTGAGATAGTAAATGTATCCCCCCTGTGTAAGTCACACGACAAACCCCCACAGCATCTCAGGCTAACCATTGCCCAATAAATTGGACACTTTGAGCACAAGAGCCCAGCATTGCTATAACTAATGGGGAAAATATCACAGTGGTTCAACTTAAAGAAATGAGGCCCCTTCAAAGAAAAATGGAGGTTTCAATCCAAAAGAGAATGAAGCCACTTTTGTGGCATTCATTTCTCCACTTAAATTAATTCTTTCATTTTAGAAGCAAGCTCTAGCTGAAACACAGCAATTTGCTAAAATTAAGGCATCATCTTCCCCATTTGTGGCTGCTCTGCTGTGTCTGATGCCGTCCGTCAGCTGTGCCCCTTCTCAGTGAAAGCGCTGATGCCTCAGGCCTTGAGTGCTCACTTTCAGACCCTCACATCTGCTTAGAACAATTAGACATTTTCCTCCTTGTATAAGCAAAACCTGACCGTCCGTGTCCCAGGAAAATACAATTTGCCCTACCAGAGAGGGTCAGGGCTAGTATCCTGCCTCTGGCACAAAACCGGACATCAAAAGGGGAGCCCTGTCAACACATGTCCAGCAAAAGGAAAGGATATTAAACTGCAAAGAAAGCATGCTGTTTTTGATCACTGTGGTAGTCAGCTTACAGCCAGAAGCAAAACAGTGATCACTGAGGCATCACTTTCTAATCACAAATGTTACCCTTGTACTTAAAATTACAAGTATTTTAGAATGAAAAGCTGGCCAATGGGCAGCTGCAGGTTTTCGAAAAATCTAATTGAGAGGTATAGGATGCAGGTACTGATATGAATACCTCGATCTGCAAAAAAGGGCCTCTTTCCCACCATGTTCACGAGGAGGCAGAGCAGTCCCACAGAATGAGTCTGAGCCTTAGACAAATACAAGATTGGGTGGAATCATAATTCCCATCACTCACTACCTGTGTATCCTTGCATGTTACTCGATGTCTCTGATCCTCAGTTCACTCACTTTTAAAAGGAATTAATACCCAACTTACAGGTTGGTGGGAGGACAAAAGAAGATGATGTGAAGTACCAATTAGGGCAAAAAGGGTTGCAACAAGTGATGTTCCTGGCATAATAAAAGGGTGGAGTTATGTTTTATCCCTTGTCAGAAGGACCTTAGAGAAATACATCACTGTCCCTCCATCTACTAGATGGGACCTCAAGCCTCCCCACCCCTCTGCCATCTTCCCTCCCCTTCTCCCTGACCCCATCTCTGCCTGCAAACTGGGCAGGCACTGCCGAGGTGAGGACTGTGGTGTGGCAGGAAGTGTACAAGGTAAATACAGGATGAGTGCAGCTTGTGAGGTAAAAAGATGCCTGTGCTGACCTGTGAATGTGATAAGGGAAAAAGAATCTAATTTAGATCAAGCCTTGGAGAAGATTTTACTATATCTGATGGCAGTCATTGGAAAAGTTTTCAGGTACCAGGCAAAGTTTATCTAAATTCATATTGTAGCTCTCCTGAAGCTGCTCTATTCAAAGGCATGAACTTCAAGCAGATTATAGATTTATAGATTTTGGAAAGGCTTCTTCAGGTTAAGGAGCTCACAAACAATCCCCTGTGATGGCACCCTCCTGGCCGTTAGCATTTGGCCTGTTCTCTCTCCCCCCTCCCCTCTGCAGTGTGTGGACAGAAGAGTCTCAGTGCACCCTGCTGAACGCGTCCATCACGGAAACATTTAATTGCTCCTTCAGCTGTGGTCCAGACTGCTGGAAACTCTCCCAGTACCCCTGCCTCCAGGTGTACGTTAACCTGACTTCTTCCAGCGAAAAGCTCCTTCTCTACCACACCGAAGAGACGATGAAAATCAATCAGAAGGTAGGAGTCTGGCCCCCACACACTGCATTCCTGTCACCCCGCAGAGCTCCACTCAACTCATCTCTCTCTGAGTTCTCCGGTGCCATCATTTCAAAGAAAAATGCCGCTAGGAAGCAGGCCCTGCTTCATCCGCTCACAGAGATCACTATTCGACTCCTGCCTGGGGAACATTTATTTTCTGTGCATGTTGTAGCCAGGTCATTCTCCCATTGTGTGGTAGTGCAGATTTATCCTTTACTTCTGTTTAGAGGGGTAAACATCATGCCCTTATTTATACACAAAGAGACTCAGTGCTTCAAAGCCAATATTCACCTTCGAGTTAGAAAAAGCCAAAAAACAGGTATATGTCATGCACTTAAGAGCCGTGGAGTAAAACTGTATTTTGCTTTTCCACAGTCGTTGTCACTTAGTTCTGCGGCCATGAAAATGTAACTCATTCTCTCCAAGCAATGGCCATCTTGTCAGGTCGCTGTGGGGATGAGAGCAGGGCGTATAAGTGCAGAGCAGAGTGCAGTGCCTGGTGCCGGGCTATCTTCCCCCACGGGCACAGTGTGTGCCTCTTTTTCTGTCTTCAGATACTTTATGTTGATAGAGGCTGAATTGTTCAGCGCTAATATATTCAAGCCCACATGGTGGATGCTCAGCAAATGAATATGGTAGTAAAGTGGTACCTAAAATGTGCATTTAAAACATCTAGGATGACCAGAAAGTGTCATCAGAACTAACCTGCCATTATCAATTTTAAATTAAGCATATTGGGTCTGGGATTTATTGTAACAAATTTTGATACACCAAGACAACCTGGTGCTATGCCCAGGTGAGGCAGGACAATGGGCCCTCATTCCCAGGATACACCCCTCATGAACTCTATTCTTTCTTATAAAAACTTCTCTTTTCATACTGTTATCAGTAGTTAGGTGATATAGATTATATGTATTGAAAAACTACAATAGCTTCAAAGTCAGAAGCTAGAACATAGGATTTGTTGTGTGACATATTGACACAAAGTAAGGAAATCCGCATTGCATTTTGAGTACAAAAACATAAAAGAATTCTTGCTAATGTTTCTGAGGACTCAAGGGAATGAATATTTCAGAGAATGTTATTTAAAATATCTGCTCTGATTTCCTTTTGTTTGTGAAAGCCATAAACAATTCCAGTTCTAACCCTGTTCTGCAAATACATAAAGCTTAGCTCTCAAACAAAGTGTTTGTTTCTCAAGATCTTCCCTTGAGTCCGATTTTTAAAGCAAAGCTAGCTGTAATGCCTATAAAACTCACAAATCTCCATGGAATTGGACTTTGGCCAAAGTTGAATAGGCATCAAAAAGTGGGATATATTTCCATTTCCTCCCTTTAACATTTATCACTACAGTTCTGTGAATGCATTATTTAGGCTGGAAACAGGGAGTGAAACTACCATAGAAAAGTCTCAGTTAAAAATTTAGAACCAGTATCTGGCCTGCTGTCAGCATGATACTAGATCATCATTTGGTTTATTTGCCCTATTACCTTGTTTTTAAACATACAGAGGTATGCAAGAAATGAGAGAGTACAACTCAAGCATTTATTACAGACGTCTCCCATCTAACCACCACAAGGGAAAGAAATAACATACTTCCTGCAGCACGGAATCACCCCTCAGACCCCTCCCCATAATTAGCAGCTCTGTCCCCTGCCACAGGTAACAGCTATCCTGAATATTATGGCAATTACTTTATTATTTTTCTTTCTAGTTTTATCACCTGAGCATATATCATTAAACACTGTATTTTAGTTTTGCCTGGTTTTTAAACATTACATAAATGGAATCATATAGAATATTTCCTTTTGTGTCTGCCTTCCTTCACACAACACTGTTTGTTAGACTCATTCCATTTAGTAGTAGTTTATTCATTTTCACTACTGTTATCATATCCCATTGTATGAATGTGCCAATTTTATTCTTTCTACTGTTGAACATTTTGAATTCTCTACAGTTTGGGGCTATTACATGTAATTCTGCCATGAATATTCTTAGATATGTCTCTTGGTACACAAGCACACGTTTCTACCAGGTATAAACCTGGGAATGGAATATCTAGATCACAGGGCTTATCTATATATGTGAAAGTTTAGGACACAATGTCAAGTAGTTTCCCAAGTGCCTGCACCAATTTACACTCCCACCAACCCCACAGGTATGAGAGCTTTTATTACTGCAAATCCTTAGAAACACTTGGTATCATCTGTAATTTTGAATTCAGCTAACATGGTGATATTTCCTTGTGGTTACAATGAGTAATGTTGTCAAGTGCCTTTTCATTTATTTATTGTCCATTTGGATCTCTTCTTTTGTACATTGTCTAACTCCCTTGTCAGTTTTTTTATAGGTTTTTTTCTTCTTTAGATTCACTGTAGGAGTTCTTTAAATCTAGATACAAACTTCCATTAGTTATATGTGTTACAAATATCTTCTCCTGTGTTGGGTCTTTTCACTCTCTTAATGTCTTTGAATGAAAGAAGCTTCTAATTTTTCAGTGTAACCAAATTCTGTCAGGCTGTTATTTTTTGTGTTTTGTTTTGGTGTTTTCATTGTCCTTAAGAAGTCTTTACCTACCCTGAGGTCATAAAGTCACTCTCCTAAATTATCTTCTAGAAATATTATTGTTTCTCCTTTCCCATTTAGAGTGAAATATGCCTAGAATTGATTTTTATGTAGGAATCAGTTTTCTGTTTTCTTTTTTTTTTATGAGTAGCCATTTACCCAAGTCCATTTATAAAAAAGACCACTCTTTACTCACTGAATTATTCTTATGATCCCATTCCATCTTCTATTTTCTTGGAGTTAGTATTTGGTCTAGAGTTTACAAGTTCAATTTTGACTCAAGGACATTAAAACATTTTAACCCCACTAATTTTCTCCCCAATTTATGTATTGTTATCATTGTATTCTATGAATACTTTAAGCTCAGGTACACATTATTATTATTTTTGTACATAGTAGATACTAACTTGGATGTGTCCTCACGATTTTCCATTTTTATTATTCATTCTTTCCTTTATCTCTGGTCTATCTGGGATCACTTTTCTATTGCTTGACAAACACTCTCAGTTAGTATTTACTAAGTGCAATACTTGCTCTAAAGAACTCTCTCAGCTTTCATTTGTCTGAAAACATTTTTATCTTACTATGTTTGCATTCCTGAAGGATACATTCAGGAAGCACAGAATTTTAGAGTGGCTGTTATTTTGTTTCTGTGCATTGAAAACATTCAATTATCTTCTGGTGAGCTTTGTTACTACTTAGAAATAAGCTCTCATTCTAATTGCTGCTTCTTTGAAGGTAATCTTGGTCTATTTTAAAGATTATTTCTTTGGTTTCTACAATTTAATTATTATGTACCAAAGTGTATATTTATTTTTATTTAGCCTGCTTAGTGTTCCCAAGGCTTCTTTTCCTGTTCCTAGATGTTCTTCATTAACTTTAGAAATTCTCAGTCAGTATCTCATCAAATATTATACCTCTGCTCTAGGTTAGGCTTTCTTTCTATATCTCTTGTGTTGTCTTATTCTCTCTCTCTCTTTGTATTTTCCCTCTTTTTGTCTCTCTGTGCTTCAACCTGGATATTAACCTATCTTTTAATTTGTAATTCTTTGGCTGTGACAAATCTACATTAAACCTATCCACTGAGTTCTTAATTTCACTTACTGTATTTTTCCTTTCTAGAATATCCATTTGAGCCTATTTTATCATTTCTAGTTTTCTGAAATACGTTCATTCTTGTCTTTTAAATCCTTCAACATAAAAAGTAAAATTATAGTTATTTTAAAGTTCATCTTGATGACCTCAGTATCTGAAGCCCCTATATGCCTATTCTATTTTACTTCCTTGTTTGTTTTCATGTTGTCTTGTAACATCTGGTTATTTGTTATAGGTGTCAGACATTATGTTTGCAAAATCATTTATAAAAATAATTTTAAGCCTCAGATGATATCATGATGTCATCTTTTCCAAAAATTATCTCCATTTTCTTCTGCCAGACCCCTGGATGCATTGGCCATGTGTGATCACCTTATTTTAACTTCACAAACTGAGATATTCAAGTCTGAACTGAAGTCCCTGTGAGGACCTATCTACTTCAGGCAGACCATTATTCCTAGGATACAGACAGGAAGAGTTCCAACACAGATGAATAGGGGGGTTCTCAGAGCCCCTGCTTGATAGACCCTCAGTGACAATTCCTGCCACTAGCTTTGCAAGGGTGTCAAAAATGCCACTAAGCTTTCTAGGCTCATAGCCCCCTTCTAGAATCAGCAAACACTCCCAGGAGAAATGTGGCTCCAAACACTAGACTCACTGTCCTGCCCCAGTAGTTCTTCACTCTCTGGATAGCTGTCTTCTGCCTTCAGTCTATATATATATATATTGAATATACAGTATCTCCATGGCAGAAGGTCACTAAACCATGAAAATGGAACATGAGGAATATTTGAGATATTCCTAGGGAAAAAAATAAAAATAATCTCTGTTTTAATATCTCCTTCCTGTTATCCTCCCCTAAGGTCACCAAAAATAATAGTATTTTCCATAGTTACCAAAAAGTGGGCATAGTTTGACTTGAGACAATAGAAAGCAAAAGGATTATCAACTGAGCTGTCTTCATCTTTGTAGAAAATATCCAAAAGAATTTTTATATTAAAATTTTCACACTCTCTCTTATATTCCTTTTCTATAGCCTTTAAACACAGTGCCCAGCCTCTTGTCAATATTATAACTGAAGCTGCTTAAGCTAATAAGCTGGCATGTTCTTGCTCAGCAATTGGCTGACTAACAGGGAATTGCAAGTGAGCTCAAGCACCCTGCTTGCACTGGACACAAGGCTGTCAGTGGAATCATAAGCAGTGGCTGAATATTAATTCACTAAGGTTGTTGAAATCCTTAATGCTGAACCCCTTTGGAAATTTAAAACCTATTCTACCCACAGGGGTTCTCAAAACATGACTATCTGGTTTGAGGGT